CCTCCCTCCCTCCCTCCCTCCCTCTCTCTCTCTCTCTCTTTCTTTCTTTTTTTGAAACAGTGTCCTGGCTGTCCTGGAACTCACTCTGTAGACCAGGTGGCCTCGAACTCACAGAGATCCACCTGCCTCTGCCTTCCCAGTGCTGTGATTAAAGGTGTGTGCCACCACCTCCCCTCATTTTCCTATTTTTATTTGTGTGCATTTTCATTTGTCTAAACAAATTAATATTTAGTGGCTTCTCTACCTTTGTTTTCAATTCAGTATATCTTTGTTGACTCTATTTTCATTGTTGCTAGGCCCTTCATTAGTTCTTACGTTTACTCTTATTTGGAATTTTTGTAGTTTGTATTTAAGCTGTTCCTCTCCTGGTTTTCTGGGTTGGACAGTAGAGTAATACTTATTTTCTAAAGTAAGTTTTCAGAGCATAAAATCCCTAAGTATTACTTTAGTTGCACTCACAATTCCAATATTTAGACATTATATTGTTGTTTAGTTGAAAATATCTTGAGATTACCATTGTAACAGGGATCCATAAATTCATTTGATGTTTATTTTACTGCCTACAGTACACGAGGCTGCATTTTTGTCTATGACATCAAATCTTATGTATTCACTCAGAGACTGTGCTTTGATGATGGATTATTTAATTGACTGTTGCTTTGTGTTCTAGTAGGTGGTCAACATTTGCAAATCTTCTACATGGGCTTGTACAAAATGTTTCTTCTTTAATTGATGGATGTGTTTTTATCTGAAAAAAAATCATATTCATCAGACTGATATTTTGCCTTTGACTCATAAATTACTAGGGAAAAGGTATTAACATCTCTCACTCTGATTATAGCCCCATCATCTGGTCCTTGCATTTTTTTTTTTTTTTTGATATAGGGTTTTGCTCTGTTACTCAGACTGACCTCAGACTTGAGATCCATTTGGGTCTGGAATGTTGAGATTACAGGCAACTACCACCACTTCCTGGCCTGCTTTATCATTCTTGAGGCTGTGTTGTTAGGTACATACAAGTCAGAAACACTATGTCTTCCTTGTAATGTGTTGATGATGGAATGTGTAATGACAGCTTTTATTTCCAGCTTTCCCTCTTGAATTGTGCCTTCTCTGCTGGTAACACAGAAAATAAAATGTTTAGAGCCGTTGCTATTTTTCTTCCTTTATTTTCAGTCTTTGTGTGTCTGTATTTTGGGTGTCTCTGTTTTAAATTTATGCATTTTTCACCTTTTTTATTTGATATTAAAGTTATTAACCCATTTACTTTTCTTCTCATGGAAGGTCTTTTAAACCAGAGATTTTATTTCTTTTACAGGTGGTTTTATTAATAGAATTTGGGGACATATTCCCCTTTTATTTTCTATGTTTCTCCCACTTTCCTCCGCAGTAGTTACAGTTTGCATAGGAAACTATGTACATGGGTGTGATTGTAGAAACCACTAAAAATGACTATATTGGTAAGAAGGAGAGTATTGTTAAGAATGAGAAGTAGGTTTAACAAGCCAATAGAAAAGACCCAACAAAGAGACTGGTAAGTTATGACTAGAGAGATGGGGAGACTATCTGGAAAGGGCAATTTCTTCAATTCTTGCTGGCTGCACCATTGGAATGTAGGGACATCAGATGCTACTGTTTCTATGGAACAGGACTGCACTGGTCACATTCCATAGAAAATTGTTGGCGACTTTTGAGGAGGAGTAGCAGAAATGTTATGGGCAGATAAAAATCCATATACAGAATATAATCTTTGATTGAAAGATTTATGAGGATAGAGGAAACTTCATGATGTGATAAAATCCTTGTCAAGGTTTCATAGCAATTGGGTGACAAGACAGAGGAACCAACGAACCAAAGTCTTGAAGAGGATGATCTTACCTCTTCTTTCAGGGGTAGGCTTCTTTCCCAGAATGCACTTAGAGACTGCACAGATTACATGCCCAATTATGACTTGGAAGAAATGCAATATAAATGAAGAGGGTGTCTCCACAGGCCATGCTGATGGACCCATTAATTTTGGTATCGTTGATCAAGGACTGTGACGTTAATCCTGCAATGTGGGTTATATCAGAACATACATTAATAAGTGCACTTGCACTTGACCTATAAAATGAATGATCAACATGTCCCATAGGGGGTGATAGCCTGGTGAGCTCTCTGAAGAATCATCAGTATCACTAATCTGCTTTAAAGGCCTGGTTTTAGATTTTCATTAGGACAAATATCTCTGAATGCCTTTGTTAATGAAAACCAAGTGTCTAATTCTCGCTAAAACAGACTCAGAGCAATTAATAAGGTTTTTTACTCTCATAGTAGAAATACAGTACTTTTACTGTACCTACACTTTCTGGCTCATTTTTTTTTTTTTGAGAAGTAACTGTCATTACCAGTTCACACATATTTGATAAATGGTACTAAAAGTGATATTCATCACAACACTAGCTTTTCAACAGTTTAGGAGGTGCTATTTGTGTTTCATTTAGAAAGAGACGTTCCTCCAGGCATCTTCGACTGTTTAGGAAAGCCCCTGTTCATCTCCTAAAGCAGTGGGGGAAATAATGTTACAATTTGGTATCTTATGAAACATCTACCTTCAACAAAAGGAGATTTTCTTGGAAAGAAAAAACCTTGTTTTGGGTCCCTTGATTCTGAGAAAGAACTGAGCATTCATCCTCATTAAGGTCCTGAGGAGAGTAACAGGAATTGGGCAAGTGATGTTTCATACATTGGTAAGTTACTGTAGGGTTTGAGCAATGTTCAAAGGGGCGGAGCAAGAGCATCTCAGTAGCAAGGGAACATGGTCAATAAAGAGGACCTAAGGGAGGAGGAGGAGGTAGCACGCTGTTCTCTGCAGCAAACAGCTGACTGTCTTTATGATGTTAAAGATTTCACTTGCAATCTCATTTTCTCTGTGGTGAAATCCACTTTTCTTTTACAATCTTTGAGAAGAAAAGCAGGTTTGTGTGGTGGTTCTTACTGTGGCAAAGTGGAAGAAAGGACTGTGACGTTAATTCTGTGTGGGAAAAAGTGAAAATACAGAATGTCTCACCTGAGGGTAAAGTGACATGGGATATGATTCCAGGAGGAATTTGAAATAAAAGGTCACATATGAAAATATTGAAGAGGAGTGGGGTTTCTCCATAAAGAATGGTTTAGGGTGAACTTAATGATAAAATGGTGATCCCTGATTCCCAAGGGGCAGGAGACCCAGAGATTGTGCCCTCTACTTAAAATACTGATGGCGACAATGATGCTGGTCATGCAATGCAAAGGATCCCCCCACTACACATGTGCACACACATGCACACAAATGCACACCCATACAAAGACATACCCACATGCATACACACAGACATAGATGTGCCCATGCACACAAATGCACACAAATGCGTGCACAACACACACACACACACACACACACACACACACACACACACACACACGTATATATAAACCCCAAAATAAAGACATACCTTGAAAGTAGTGTACCTTCTGTAGAAGGCAATTCTTGATGCTTTGTAAGACAGTCACGCCTCCACAAAATGTCCCTCACATACATACAGTGTCAGAATCTGTGAGAATGTGGAAATACAAAGAGGGAAAAACCCCTCTCTCCTTTCCCAAAGGAACCCATGAGGTAATTTTGGGAGATGGTAAGGATTGATGTGCTCTCTTCCTCTTTGACCCTATAACCTTTGCAGAGCATCCAGGAGAGGATGAAATAAACCCAGACTAATGGGAGGCACAATTCCATCATAGCACATGGTCCCTGGCAAAGAAACATGACGAGGTAGGTATCTAAATTCACCTGAGTAGACTGAGCAGCAGCAGGACCTCCTTCCTCTCAGGGAAGAATGCCCTACCATGGAGTGCCTTCTTCCCACAGTCTGCAAGTAAGTGAGGGAAAATCAGCCTTTGGGGACATGGGCGTAGAGAGTATGGAAGGGGCACACTTCACAGCTGGAAGCCTCACCCACTTTGAGTGTGTCTTGGCTAAAGGAACCACTGTCTGCTTTCAGCATCGTATAAACAACTATTCTTTGGGTCTCCGGTATGTGGACGTGTGTGCAGTTTTCCATGTAGGAGAGAATAGCTTTTGTATTAAAAACATCTCTGTTCATGTTTATTAATGGGGAGGTTGTAGAAGCAAAGCTGTGTCTGTTTCATTTTTTTTTTTTTTTTAGCACTTGTGACAAAATGGCTCTGCATCTGGCTCGTGTGAGGACATCACTATTGATTAAATAGTGTGATGAAAGAGAACAGTGCTTATGTGTTGAGCGATTATTGCCAGAGACACATGGTCAACAAAGTGCTGAAAGGAGGCCTGTGTGACAAATTCACTGTGAGTGAGCCATGGGCAGCGCTGAGAAGCAAGGACAGTATTCCAGGGCGCACCTCTGTGTGCTGTTGCTTGTATCAGGAGTCACGTAGGACCACATAACTTGCTTCCCAATTGAGCTCATTTATTTTTCTTCACAATAAGAAAAAAAAAAAAAAAACTTCTGAAATACAGCCATCTACTCCAATCTCATGGAAAAGGAACATGACTCGAACCTCTGGCATCATGCATGAAACAACACACAACTCAAAATGTACATTTGCTGCACTCTTTTCTGCAGTTCTGAAAGCAGTCTACACCTCTCAGAAGTGCTAGCGTCTACATGCACTAGATGTGTTGTTTAGATCTGTGTGATGGTTTAAAAGAAAATGACCCCCATAGCAAGTGGCACTGTTAGGAGGTGTGGCTTTATTGTAGTAGGTGTGGCCTTGTTGGAGTAGGTGTGGCTTTGTTGGAGTAGGTGTGGATTTGTTGTAGTAGGTGTGGCTTTGTTGGAGTGGGTGTGGCTTTGTTGGAGGAAGTGTGTCCCTGTTGGGGTGGGCTTTGAGGTCTCCTTTGATCAAGCTAAGTTTAGTGTGACATACAGTTGCCTGTGAATTAAGATGTAGAACTCTCAGCTTCTTCTCCAGCACATGTCTGCCTGCACACCACCATGTCTTGCCATAATGATAATGGACTAAACCTCTGAAATTGTAAGTTAGCCCCAATTAAATATTTTCCTTTATAAGAGTTGCCATGGTCATGGTGTCTCTTCACAGCTATAAAACCCTAACTAAGACAATCTGTGTGTGAAAAAACAGAATTATTCAAAAGTATAACTTGGCATTTGACTTTTGGCCTGTAAAATGATGTCTTTTTGTTTTGTTTTTTTGTTTTGTTTTTTGAAACAGGGTTTCTCTGTGTAGCCCTGGCTATCCTGGAACTCACTTTGCAAATCAGGCTGGCCTCGAACTCACAAAGATCTGCCTGTCTCTGCCTCCAGAGTGCTGGCATTAAAGGCATGCACCACCACCACCAGGCCCTAGAATGATGTCTAAGTTAGGGTTTCTATTGCTGTGAAGAGATACTATGACAAAAGTGACTCATAAAATAAAAATATTTAATTGGGGTGGCTTACATTTTCAGAGGTTCAGTCCATTATCATCAGGGTGTGACATGGTGGTGTGCAGTCAGACATGGTGCTGGAAAAGTAGCTGAATGTCCTACATCTTGGCTTGGAGACAGCAGGAAGTGGTCTGAGGCACTGGACATGGCTTGAGCATATATGAGATCTCAAAGCCTGCCTCCACAATGACACAATTCCTCCAACAAGACCACACCTACTCCATAAGGCCACATCTCCTAATAATTTTTTTTTCAAATTGCCACATTCTATTCCCTGGCCCCCAAAGGCTTGTAACCATATCATAATGCAAAAATTCTTTCAGTCCAACTTCAAAAGTCCCCAGAGTCTTTAACAGCCCCAAACTTATTTAAAAGTCTAAAGTTCGAAGTTTCTTCTGAGATTCATGCAATCTCTTAACTGTAATTCCCTGTAAAATCAATTTTTTTATTTAAAAAAAATCACACACTTCCAATACATAGTGGCACAGGATATACATTACCATTCCAAAACACAGGAAAGGGAGCATAGCAAGGAAATACTGGACCAAGGCAGACTGAAAACCAGTTGGGCAAACTATACTCCGCATCTCCATTTCTAGTGTCAAAACGTTCTTCAGATCTCCAAATCCTTTGACTGCAATATACTTCCCTCTCTTGGTTCTACTCCCTGTTAGCAGCTCATCTCAGCAGGTATCCCACAGCCTTGGCATTGCCAACATCTTAGGGGTCTCTAAGGCGATCCAGGCTTCAACTTCACAGCTTCACACAATGTCCTCCGTAGGCCTCCATTCAGGGACACCCCTGACACATGCCTGGCCTCAGTGGCTTTCCTTAGTCTTAGGAGAATATTTCATAAATGCTTTCTTCTATCCTTAAAGACAGAACCATGTGGCTGAAGAGGCCAAGTTCTGATGTTTGCTTGGCCTGGCACATGCCCCCCTTGTTCAATTATGTCTTCACCAACTTGCTGGTTTTGATGGTTGTCTTCACTGTCTAAGGTTAGCTGTCCTTGAACTTGCTCTATAGACAAGGCTGGCCTCAGAGATCTGCCAGCCTCCATCTCCATAGTGCTGGGATTAAAGCATGCACCAACACGCCTTTAAGCTTTTTTAAAAAATTCCTTTTCACAAGTTGGAAACTTAGCTGGGTGGGATCTTACCCTAAGGTCACCACTCCCTTTATTCCACCTCTTAATCTGTTTATCTCCTTGAACATAGGATTTAGCTGTGTTCCACTTTCTGGTGCTCCATTTCTCCTCAAATATGTTTCCTGGCTCAACTTGCTCCTTTTCATTATATATCTTCATTAGATGTAACACTAGTAACCATACAACAGAGTTTATACTGCCACTAGAATGAATCCAAACTCCTCATTTTAGCCTCAGGCAAACTTTTTGGACAAGGGCAAAAAGCAGCCACATTCTTCACCAAAATATTACAAGAACAATTTCTAGGCAACATGCTAAAATTCTTCTCTGAAACCTTTTGACCCAGGCTCCCACAGTTCAATTCACCCTTACCATCACTGTCTCTCATGCTCCTACTAGTACAGCTGCTGTGGATATCACTTTATATAAATAAAACACTGATGCCCAGTGACCAGGCAGG